ATATCCACTTTGAAAACCTCTCAAAGTGAGAAAAACTCCAAACTTAGGAAACTATTTCAACATATTTATGATGGAATAACATTAAATCTTTCATATTGACAAAAATAAATAATCTAAAGTTTTTATTTCATCCCAAATAGTCAACTTTAATCATAATAATTAATGTTGCTAGTTTTACCATAAACTGACAAATCTACCGTTTGGTTGAGGTCATTTTCAAAACATTCTTACACATTTGTTCGACTTGTTTTGTGGCAATAAGTAAAAATAGTTCTGTTCATTGAAGCCTCTGACAGCATGGTATGTCTTAATATATGCTTACCGTTCAAAATTTCAAATGCAGTGATTTTCATGCCTTACCTCCTTGTTCGAGGGGAAATGGACACATCTACAATTTTAAGACGCAGTAACATCTAATGGATTGTTTTGGGGGCATAACAAACCTCAGTCGAACAGCAGAGATGGCTCAATCAGGTTGAACTGATTTCAACACTCAGTTAGATAAAGTGACTCCAAATGTGCTCGACCAAACGGCGGAGCAGGAAGTGAAAGGGTTAAGAACATAAACATTAAACATGAAGGCACGAGCGGCGCAATGCGCACAATATTTACGTCACGTCCTGATAACGGCTGCTAGCGGCTATCCGCTCTCTGGTGCCAAACATAGACTGTATATAAAGGTGCCAACCAGTGTGTGGGGCCAACGCGGCTGGATGCTAACACGGCTGGATGCTAACGCGGCTGGACGCTGACATTTTACGCTGTAGTTGTGTTTCTAAAATTCATTGAAGGTGTGGAGACGAACTTACCACGAAACACGAGCGCAGCAGCCTCCCTGTCCGGAAACTCAAAAAGTTCAGAGTTAGCGAAATTTCAAATGGCGGAGATTAAAAATAAAGTCGTCGCTAAAGTCATTTGGAGGGCCGCTGTGGTTGTAAAGGTGAAGCTACACCCGTTCTCAAGTGGGTTGAACGTGGAGGACTTGAACACGAGCGAGCTTCCTCTATGAAACACACGATCACACTTACTTACTTCCTAATCATAACACGCTGTGCGCATTGTTTCTTAACATTACGGTACAGGCTTGTCACGCTGATTAAAAAAAAAGTGACCTACCTTATAAACAGACTAGTGTTGTACTGGTACCAACAAGTATTTCGGTACTTTTCCAAATAAAAAGTGTCATTATCGACTTTACTTTAATAGAAAATCTTAGAACCATAACATTATGCATCAGTTATGAAAATAAAATACCACAAAGACAGGCTTACAGTTTTTCCAGCGCTACTTTAGTGGAGAGTGAAGGGGGCTGGCGTCGCTTGCTTTTAGCACTGACCGTGGCTTTTTATTTTATTGTGTATCATTACCTGTCGTTCTCTGAACTCCTTGTGCAGGTCTGGGTGCTTGTCCTTCAAGTGTTTTGCAAAGTTGGCCACACATGTTTAGTAACACCGTTTGCACAGTGGTGCATCAGTGTTAATGGCTTCACCGTGCTCATTTGTTCTCAAGCAGAAGTAATTCCATGTAGCACTTCGTGCACCTGGTTTATCTACGAGTTGCAGCAGCTGCTGTCTCTCTCTCTCTGCTCCAGTCTCTCTCTCTCTCTTTCTCTCCTTTATCTCTCTCTGTCGCCAGACTCCTGCTCCGTTTGCTGCGCGCTCACTCGCTTCGGCTCTAATTACAACGCGGTGACGTCACGCGGCGACGTAAAAAAAAAAAAAAAAGTACCGGTCTTATCCAAGCGCTGTATAGTACCATTTAAATGCATCAGTACCCCGGTACCAATTTAGTACCCGTATACAGAACCAAGGTTATTATAGTAAACGAAGACTAAAACTAAAACTAGCAATGAAAAAATAATTTGGTTAACTGTAATAAAAATAAAAACGACAATTACAAAAAAAAACGAAAACTACAATGAACAATGCAAAACTAACTAAAACTAAACTGAATTGCAGATAAATTCAGCTTCGTTTTCGTTTTCTCCCTCGATTACTGCCTGTCCTGCAGGTGATGGTTAAAGAATGAAATTAAAGGACTTGATAAACCATACTTGGTGTCACACATTGTTTCATCCTTCTTCAGCTTCTACAAGTCAAGGCTTTCTCTTAATAGCAGGAAAAACTAAAACTAATAAAAACTAAACTGAAACTAGTTGATTCCTCAAAATAAAAACTAAACTAAAACTACAAAATCTCTTGTTGAACTAACTAAAACTAAACTGAAATAAAAAAGCAAACTGAATACTAAATAAAAATAAAAACTAATGAACATTTCAAAACTATAATAA